TTGTTCAAAGACTTATTCATTTTTTGTTGCTCTTGGAAATGCAGATAGCACTCTGGCAGCTCAGCGCACGCTTCTCAGACTCACACTGTCTTCTGGCGCCCCCTCTCCAGACCCATCGCCATCTTGGAATCTCCTGCCTTCCAGTTCTTAAAAACTCAAAAGCATAAGCATCTTCCCCATTTAGGCTAAAACTACAGTCTATCCAGAGGCCCTGACTAGGATATTTCAGATTCCTGCTCACTAGGTTATCTTCTCTTTCCCTCTAAACCTCTCACATGGAACCAAAAACCAATACAATGTGCTCCTGAAATTACAGACTTTAAAAAATTAACAGAAAGTGTGTAAGTTCCTGAGTCCCTCTACCCCTTTTATCAACTAAATAGAAGGAAAGAGAGCATCATGAAAAGCTGACTATTCTTAGCCACACCAATAAGACAGACAGTGGCAGCAAAGTTAGGAAGCTACATACTGATACCGAAGGAAGCTCCCAAGTCAGCTGCGTGCCAACCTGGATAAGAGTTGGGTGCGGGCCTTGGATTAATCCATGAGCAAGACTCACTTATTTTTTGCATGTGAGCTGTAATCACTGGTTGTTGGGCTCTCCAAATCTTGAGCTTGGAGAATTGTTGTTAAGAGCTGAATAGAAAGAACGGATTACACAAAATAAATCCTTGCAGATACAAAACCAACAATAGAAAAACCCATGACCATCATGCTTTGTTTTGTTGGGCTATGTACTGTAGGATTTTGCTTGGAAAGTGCTTTGATACGTATAAATAGCAACAAGGAGCTGGCAGATACAACAGGCTTTATGTATAAGATGAGTGCATATTTTTTTAAGCAGAAGGAGAATCATGTCATTAAGTAGGTTTTTAGTGACTCTCTATGGCCACATTTATCTCACTTTAGTTAATTATTTCCCAGATGAGCTTACTCTGTCTCTGTGCTGTCTTTCATATTTCCCTCTAAATGCCGAAAGATTGGCTCAGGACCTCACCTCTCCAGCAAGGAATTTGAGGAAGGGATCACTGGTATTAAAAAAAAAAAAAAGACATGAAAGGTATATAATCTGACTGACTTTGTTAAACTAAATCATTCTGACAGCTGTAAACATTTTGTAAAGTCACCCCAACATTGTCAAATTAATTCTGAAATAGTTCTTTCAGTAAGCATGAACAGAGAGAATATAGTAACTATGATCTCAACTAAATAAACCCTCTCTCAGGGACCTTGGTTCTGAGAACTCCTGAAAGTAAGAGTATGAACTGAGTGGGATTTTCCTCCACTGTCTTTTTCATAAAAATGACTGAAAATTTGGCATAGCTGGATTGTCACAGCAAAAGTAAGGAACAAAGCTAAAGAATTCTGAATGGGACAGACAGATGGGCCTGGGTCTTTATCTTCTAGACATCATGGTCAACAAACCATTGAATAAAATGATTTTCAGGTCATGCTGTCAAATTTCTGTGGAGCAGAGATAAGCACCTTGGAGGCCACATACTTCTGGCATTCTTAGGCAAATGTTTGATGGAGACGGTAGGGTTATCTCTGGGAAATGTTAGGTTTCTAAGAGGTCTATCTCAAGCAAACATCTTAATTTCAAATGCTTTTGCTGTTATGCTTAGATCTTCCGCCCCCTGCAACCCGAGAAAGACCACCAGGATGCAAAACAGTATTTGTGGGCGGCCTGCCTGAAAATGGGACAGAACAGATCATTGTGGAAGTGTTTGAACAGTGTGGAGAGATCATTGCTATTCGGAAGAGCAAAAAGAACTTCTGTCACATTCGCTTTGCTGAGGAGTACATGGTGGACAAAGCCCTTTATCTGTCTGGTAGGTATTTAGATATGGAGACTGTGCCCACCAGGCACAACGCAGAAATTGGGGATCAGAGTATTTGCATCTGCAGCAGCTAAAGTTTAAGCTTAAAGTTACCCCCTCTTGCCTTCAGAGATGGAAAGTGCGTGTTACCACCTAACTTCTTCCTTTAAAGCTTTTCAGTAGCTCCCAATCTATGGGATAACTCCAAACTCTTTACATGGGGTATCTAAAGGCTTTGATTATCTGCTCTACCTCTCAGCGTCATTTCCCAATGTTTGTCCCAACCTCACTAAATAAATTCTACTTCCCAGCATGTGCCATGGTGTTTTATGCCTTTTCCTTGGACTAGAATTACTTATTCCATCCCCACCCACCACACACACATCTTCACACCCCTGAAGATCCAGCTCAAACACAACCTCCTCCAGAAAGCTTTCTCTGACTTAACCACCTTACTCTGTCCCGCCTGGTCTAGGCACCCCTTCCTCAGTGCTTGGTGCTTCCTCCTAACTGTCTCTTTCCACATCTGTCTCCCCCACCAGAGTGTAAACTCCTGAAGGGCTGGGACTGTGTCTTATTTAATGTTGACTCCCCAGCACCTGGCACATAACCTGACACAAAGTAGATACTCAAAAATAGTCATGGAGGTCAGTCAGTTATCAAATATTTAACTGGTAGGCAGAATGCTAGGTTGCTTGGAATACTGCAAAAGCCAAGATGGATAGACTTTCTGCCATCAAGGATATCACATTCTGAGGATGGCAAAATATAATATATAGTCATGCATGGCTTAACAACAGGGCCACATTCTGAGAAACGTGTCGTTAGGTGATTTCATCATCATGTAAACATCATAGAGTTCACTTCCACAAACCCAGATGGTATAGCCTACTACACACCTAGGCTGTATGGTATAGCCTATTGTTCCTAGGCTGCAAACCTATACTCTACTGAATATTGTAGGCATTTGTAACACAATGGTAAGTGGTAAGTATTTGTGTGTCTAAACTAAGCTTTAGAAAGATACAGTAAAAATATGGCATAAAAGATTTTTTAAAAGAAGGTACACCTATATACAGCATGTTAAAGAAAACCTAAGACATGTTAAATTTAACAAAGTTTATTTGAGCAAGAAAAAGGTTCTACAACCAGGCAGCATTCCAGACCTAAGATGGTTCAGAATGCCCTTACCTACAACATGGGGCACTGTATTTATTTTAAAAAAAAAAAAAAAAAAAAAAAAAAAAAAAAAACAGAAAATAACATACAGAGATTACCCAATTGATATAGGGTGTGTGCCTTATTTGGACATAATTTGGCAGTTCTTAGCCTAGTACTGGCTGAGGGTTCAGCTACTATGATTGGCTGAGACTCAGTTACTTGATTACAAGGGTATACTCCTAGATTAGGTTACAACTTGTTTACACATTAAGCTAGGATACAGTTCACTGTGTACAGAGGCTGCTTTGAGCCAGACTTTATTACCAAAGTACAGGGGCCACATTGAGCCAAACTCAACAAGCACTTACAATGAATGGAGCTTGCAGGACTGGAAGTTGCTCTTTGTGAGTCAGTGAGTGAGTGGTGAGTGAATGTGAAGGACTAGGACATTGCCATATACAGCTGTAGATTTTATAAACACTTACACTTAGGCTACACTAAATTTATAAAAATTAGTTTTCTTCAATAAGAAATTAACCTTAGCTTACTCTAACTTTTTTACTTTATAAACTTTTAATTTTTTAAAAACTTTTTGATTCTTTTGTAGTAACGCTTAGCTTAAAGCATACATTATACAGCTGGTACACAAATACTTTTATTTTTATTTTTATTTATTTTTTTATTTTTTTGCATATCTGAAATAATTTCTAATACTTTTTAATAATTTAAATAATATGACATGCACTTCATAGACCTACTATAACAGCCTAATGGTGAGGGGTTGGTAACACACTGTTTTTCAGGAATGTTCTGCCCGGCATGTCAGATCTCCCTATAACTCAAAGAAAATGGCTTTGTAGTTTTCTTTCTTGGTTATATCTTTATCTGGTTTTGGTATCAGGATGATGTTTGCTTCGTAGAATGTGTTTGGAAGCTTTGCTTCTGTTTCAATCTTTTGGAATAGTTTGTATAGAATCGGTGTCATTTCTTCTTTGAATGTTTGGTAAAATTCTGCTGTGAATCCATCTGGTCCTGGGCTTTTCTTTTTTGGGAGCTTTTTGATAACATCTTCAATCTCCTTTATTGTTATTGGCCTATTCAAGTTTTCTATATCTTCTTGGTTTAATTTTGGAAGCTTGTGTGAGTCCAGGAATTTATCCATTTCCTCCAGGTTTTCGAACTTGTTGGCGTATAGCTGTTTATAGTAGTCTCGGATGATTCGTTGTATTTCATTTGGGTCGGTTGTAATATCACCTTTTTCATTTCTAATTTTTGTTATTTGAATCTTCTCTCTTCTTTTTTTTGTTAGCCATGCAAGTGGTTTGTCGATTTTATTTATCTTTTCAAAAAACCAACTTTTTGATTCGTTGATCTTTTGTATTGTTTTTTGGTTTTCAATTTCATTAAGTTCTGCTCTGATCTTGATGATTTCTTTCCTTCTGCTAACGTTAGGTTTGGATTGTTCTTGTTTTTCTAGTTCTTTAAGGCGCATTATTAAATTGTTCACTTGCCAGCTTTCCACAAATATTTTATTTCAAAAAAATATTGTATTTCTTTGTATCCTTATTCTATAAGCTTTTTTCTGTTTCTAAAATAGCAGTGTAATAGGTTTGATTACACCAGCATCACCGCAAACACCTAATGCATCACACTACAACGTTATGACAGCTATGACATCACTAGGCAACAGGAATTTTTCAGCTCCTTTACAATCTTGTGGGACCACTGCTGTATATGTGGTCTGTCATTGACTAAAGCATCATTTTGTGGTGAATGACTGTGTATGTAAATGAATAAAGGAGTTAATATCTGATAAGAACTCTGAAGAAGATTAAAAAGGAGAATGTACCTAGGGTTGTTAGGAAAGGAAGTCTTCTCTGACATTTGAACTGAGGCCTAAACAATGTGAAGAGAGATTGCCATGTGAACATCTTGGGGAAGAGCATTCCAAAATAAGAAACAGCAAGCCAAAGGCCCAGAGATGAAAATGGACTTGGCATGTTCAAGCAGAGGATAGAAGGTTAGCATGACTGGAGCAGAGTAAATGAGAGAAGGTTGGTAGAAGGAATTGCAGTCTGAGAGGCAGGCAACACCAAATCATGATGGGCTCTATAAACTATGGTAAATGAGTTTTATTCTGGAAACCACTGGAGAATTTTAAGGAATAAAGTGCACAATCTGATTTACATTTTAGAAATATTACTTCTGGGTAGAAGACATACTGAGGCAAGGTGTGGTGACTGGGAGATAAGTTAACCAACTATAACATTAGTCTAATACAGAAGTGATAGTAACTTATTTAGTACAGTTGTTAAAGTGGAGATTGTAAGAACTATAGTCCTGCATAAAATCTGTTCATGGTGAAAGTTTAGATTTGGGGCAACTGAGGCAAGGAATTGTAATTGAAATTATTTCTGATGAGGATTATAAAGTAAAGCCCCTTGCATTTCAAGTTAGTTTCAAGATAAAGTTTCATAGCTAATCTTTTGCTTATTTTGAATTGATACTGTTCTTTTTGGGGGCAGTGGACAATATACTAGAAGGAAGAAGACATTGGAAAGGACAAAGAACAATTAACTCTTTCCTTGCCTAAGAGTAATGGTTTGGAAGAATTGTGTCCAAGTGCTAGGCATTTTATGATGGCAGCATCTTCATTCATGTAATAGGCACTTATTGGACATCTTCTTTGTGTAAACTATTGTGCTAGATGCTATGAAGAGTAGAAAATGAGTAAAACATATTTCTTCTCCTTAATGAACTTAGGGTTAGTATGCAGTCATATATTCATTTATGAAAGAAACTTTTATTCAGTGCCAGGCATTACTCAAGACACTGGTAAGATGCACTCACTGCTAATAACAATAACAGATTGAAAGTTGTAAGTGCTGTAGGGGAGGGAGGGTGGGAGAGAAAGAAAGAGAAAGAGAGAGTATTTCTGAATTCTAACTGGGGGTATCTAGAAAAGTAGCATTTGGACCAAGTCTTTGACAAAGAGAAAGCATTTGCTTGTGGACAGTGGGGCATAGAAACAGCATGAGTAAAGATACAAAGGTGGTAAGCTTTAGCAAATATTCAGGAAACAGTAAGTAGTGGTTTGTGTACTAAGTAGACATGAGAGGAAGAGGGAAAACATCAGTTGCTAGCACAATTTAAAAGGCTTGACAGTTCGATCTTTACTCCTTGGGTAATAGGAAATTGTTGAAGAAATTTGAACAAGGGGGATGATTGTTTCTGAAAGATTAATCTGACAGCTCTGTGTAAAAATGGATTAGAGGAGAGAAGAGAAAGGAAGAGAGGAGGTCAGTTAGAAGCCTGTTGCAGTAGACCAGGGAAAAGGTAACAAGGGTTTGGAAGAGTAGGCTAGTAACATGGGGAAAGAGAGGAGGACATAGATGTAGAATACTCTTATTAGAGTTGCTAAGTGCTATAGAATCTAACTACTGAAGATTTGACAGCACTTAGCAATGACAACAGAGCATTTCACAATAGACAACTTTAATAACTTGAAGGTCTTGAGGAGCCCTGAATAGTTAGCTGTACACAAAAAATGACATGCTGCTCAGGAGGCTTCCATCTAAACATCACTGAAATCAGCTCTCTGTTAAAAGCCACGTCCTGGAAACATTCGCAGGGCTGCCAAAGGAAAGAGTACCACAGTCAGTGATGCGTGAAAAAAACTAAATTTGCCCTTTAAATTTGAACCTGCCCCCTGAAAGTTCACAAGTTCTAGAACTCTCCTGAAGGGGTAGCTGTTATTTCACCTTGTAAAAGAATGAAGTTAAAAGAAACAAAAATCCCTTAGAAAAGGGGCTAGAAAAATGTAGAAATATCATTTTTTTCTGTTCGCGTTGGAGCACTTTTGGGAGCTGGCACCATGCACAGCACACCTGCCCCATAGCAACATAGCACATTCAGTCAGGTTTACACAGAGCTTTCATATCGTCCCCTCTTTTGTTCCTCTCCACAATTCTGGGAGAATAGGCAAGGTAGTCATTAGCAGCCCCATTTTTCTAATGGCTCAGATGATCAAATAAGATGAATGGATGTGCAGGTGCATTGTAAACTGTAAAGGGCCCTAGAAAAGTTTGCTCATGAAATGTATTTTTTCTTCCTCTATGAAGAATTATGTGGCGGTTTTAGTGTTGCTGGGCATTATTCTTTATAACAGCTTTATTGAAGTATAATAATTGATGTATAATGACCTTCACATATTTTAAAAATACAATTATATAGTATTTGATATAGGCATACAGCTGTGAAACCATCACCAATACACAAAATAATATGTCCACCACCCCCAAAACCTTCCTTCACGTCCCTTTTGCAGTCCCATCCTCTTCCTACCCTTCTCTACTGCCCCCTCAGGCAATCACTTACCTGTGCTCTATCAGATTAGTATGCATTTTCTAGAACTTCATATAAATGGAATTAGATATTATCTATGCTCTTTCTTACTTTGTATACATCCAGATTTCCATTGAGTGTGTTTTTCCCTATTCTTGAATTTCCTTCAATGATTGTTGTAATGTAGGTCTGCTCTTGATGACTTCTTTCGGCATTTGTATGTTTGGAAAAGAATTTATTTCACCTTTCTTTTTGAAATATATTTTTTCAGGATATAGAATTCTACGTTGATACTTGTTGAGGTTTTTTCCCTCTCTCTCAGATGTTGTTTCACTATCTTCTTGCTCGCATTATTTCCAGCAAAAATATGATGGTATCCTTACCTTTGTTTCTGTGTACATAATGTGTCTTTTTGTCTGTGGCTGTTTTTAAGATATGCTCTTTATTGCTGGTGTTGAGCAAATTGATTATGATGTGCCTTGGTATAATTTCCTTCATGTTTCTTTTGTTTAAGGTTCATAGAACTTCTTGGATTTGTGAGTTTTCATCTCTTTTGGAAATTATTTTCCCCTTATTTCTTCAAATATTTATTCTGTTCCCTCCCTTCTCCCCTCCTTTTCAGGGCTCCAATTAGGCATATATTAGGTAGGCCTCTTGAAGTTGTCTCACAGCTCACTGGTACTCTGTTCATTTTTTTTTTTTTCAATCTTTTTCCCCTTTGTATTTCACTTTGGACAGCTTCTATTGCTGTGTCTCCACGCTCATTAATTTTTACATATGCACTGTCTAATTTGCCACTAGTCCTATCCAATGATTATCTTTTCTACTTAGACATTATAGCTTAAATCTCTAGAAGTTTGATTTTGGCTCTTTTTTAATATCTTTTGTGTTTCTACTTAATATGTTCACAATTTTTTCTCTAGTGTCTTCAGCATGTGAAATCTAATTTTAATAGTCATTTTATGTCCTTACCTATTAATTGTGTTATCTGTGTCACTTTTGGGTCTGTTTGGATTGACTGATTTTTAAAATCCTTATTATGGGTCCTATTTTCCTGCTTCTTTGCATACCAGGTAATTGTCATTGTGAATTTTACCTTATTTGGTGACATATTTTTTATTCCTATAATTATTTTTGAACTTTGTTCTGGAATGCAGTTAAGTAACTTGAGAAAATTTTGGTCCTTTCAGGTCTTGCATTTCAAGCTTTGTTTAGTAGGACCAGAGCAGTTTAGTCTAAGGCTAATTTTTCTCCACTATTAAGGCAAAACCCTTCTGATCACCAAATATTCTGTGAAGTATGAATTTTTCTGCTCTGGCTGACTGTTACTAGCCCTGTGTGAGCTCCAGGGATTGTTACTTCTAATGCTCAGGTAGTTTCCATACACACACATAGATATCAATAGTCAGCTAAATAATAGTGGAATACCTTCTGCAGATCTCTGAAGTTCTTTCTCTGTGTAGCTTTCTTCTTTCTGGTACTCTGCCTTATGAACTCTATTTGCCAGTCTCCCTAGACTTACAGTTCAATCTCCTCAACTTGGGGTGACTACCATACTGTGCCTGAGTTCCCCTTCCTGTGCTGAGACCTAGAAACTCTCCAGGCAATAAGCTGGGGCGATCATAGGCATCACTTCATTGGGTACTTGTCTCCCAGTGGTCACTGTCTTCATGGTCCGATGTCCAGTGTCTTAAAAACTATTGTTTCATATATTTTGTTCGTATTTTTCATTGTCTAAGAGAGCAGGATAAATCTAACCCATCACTCTATCTTAGCTAGAAGCAAAAGTCTGTGTTTGTCTATTATTCTTAAGAGACAGGTTGGAACAGAGGAAAGCACAATGGATTTGGAGTCCCAGCTCTACCATTTGCTAGTTGTTTGAATCGGGGCAAGCCACTTAACCTTTATAACCTCTCTGATGCTGTTTTCTCTTTGTTAAAATGTTTACCCTGCAAGCGTGTGCTGAAAATGAAATAAGATAAATGTGTGTGTGTGTATCTAGCTCAGTTCCTGAAACTTAAAGAGTACTTAAATTATTTTTTTCTACTTTTTGTTAAGAGATATTGACTTGGGTAATACAGCCGGCACAAAAAGTGGAGGTAGGGAGTTGAATCCTAGTTTTTTGAATCCTTGTCCTGTACCACACTATATTACAATCACACTACCTCTTTTTTTAAAGGATTTCAAATTATACATTGCCTGGGTCATACAGCACTCCTCATCATATCTAATTTTTTCCTAGAAAAAAAAAATGGTTCAGAGTTGCCAAATGCACCTAGGAAAAAATTTTAGGGGTAGAAATGCTGAGTGATACAGGTAAGTTTTAGCAAAATTTTCTGTGATGACATGACTGACAGTCTTGAAGTTATCCAAAGACACCATAGTTTGGGGCCACCTTCTCCATTCTTCCCAGTCCTGGGTGCCGTGTAAGGTTCGTTCTTGATACCATTACCCATAAAATCACCCCCAACCAGAGGTAAGGTAACATATGGACGAATGGAACTCCTGAGAACAAGATTGACCCAACCCCCAAAATAGTAAACTATTATCATAGATCAGACTATAATCCAAGTCTTTCGATAATTCACCTTGCTAGGTGTGGGGAGAGAATTTGGGGTTATGTGTGGTCACTCGGAACTGCTGCAGCTGCATCAGAAACACTAAACATAGAAAGGTGCTTTCAGTTGCTCACTCACTGGGCTGCTCTTGTTCTCTTTCTCCCTCTACCTCTCTCTCTCTCTTAGGTTACCGCATTCGCTTGGGCTCTAGTACTGACAAGAAGGACACCGGCCGGCTGCATGTTGATTTTGCACAGGCTCGAGATGACCTGTATGAGTGGGAGTGTAAACAGCGCATGCTAGCACGAGAGGAGCGCCACCGGAGAAGGATGGAAGAAGAAAGATTGCGCCCACCATCCCCACCCACAGTGGTCCACTATTCAGATCATGAATGCAGCATTGTTGCTGAAAAACTAAAAGGTATAGAAGGCACTCAAGCTTCATGATTAAAAAAAACTATTTTCTTTAGGGAAATTTAACAAATATAATTGTGCTGTTGGCAGTTACCCTTTGAATTTCCCACTGATGGATCTAAGCATTTCTTGTGTTGGAGCCTTGTAGATAGAGTTGAACCTAGTAACTGAAGCACCAGGAAATTTGTCCCTGCCAGCTATGTCTCTGGCCCTTCATTATCTCAAGAGATGGCATTTTTCTCTCCAAACATCAGGTGAATGGGAAGAAATTGGTTTTTCTCACTTTTCTACATCACAGAATTTGGGGTATGCTCCATGACTTGGGACCTGTGAGTGCTCCCTTTTTTAGTGGATACAAGTTAGTTTTAATCTCTAAATTAAATGAGTAAATTAGGATGATCGCACTGTATGTGACCCTGAAAAACTCTGGTAAAATCCCCATTTTAAAGATAAGAAAACAGAGTCCCAGAAAGTAGTCACAGTGTACATTCTTAGATTACTCAAAGACTTAACCACCACCAGTTAAAAGAAGATTTTTTAAATCACTTTAAAAAGCCAATTTATTTCACACAGTGACCGTGGAAACTTCTAGACATCGCTAAATCAGACTGCTTTCCCTTTAGTTTTGATTCCTGTTCCCCTTGCTTGACTCTCAGAGCTAATTTAACATTAATTGCCCTGCCTACTCTTTTGTCTGCTCAAATCCAGTCTTTCTCATTTTCTGAGTGTGGTCGACTTTATTGAATGAATGCTGGTGTCCCATTGGTCTTATTGATGATACCAACCCAGCTCTAGTGGAATGAATTTTCCCTGCTTCTTGTGCTCTTGGTTCAGCAAGGTGCCGTTAATTCCACTTTCCACATAAGTCTCATTCACCAAACTTCTTTGCACCACACAGCCTAAGGGATTCACACATTTAAGAAATCTGATAAATCCCTTTGGGTTGATTTTGACTTCCTGTAAAGTAAAAGCATAAAACAGAGTCCAGAATAGAGACAGAGAAATAATGGTACATTTTGAAAACTTGGAAAAGCCAAAAGCATTGGTAAGATGCCAGATCGAAGATGCCTATTCTCATGGCATCAAACAAATGAGTTTAAGTTAAAAACAATTAAAAAATGAGTTTTCTGGTTGTGTAGTCCTCAAGAGAAGCAAAAACAAAGCATTAACATAACAACTGTATCCAAGTAATGAAATGAAAAGCTACTGTGAAGGAGAGGCTGACCTCTTATTATATGTCTGCACTGAAAAAAGGGCAAGAGTCAAGAAGTTCAAATAGAGAGATACTTCCACTTGACATAAGGGTTTCTGGCCAGAGAAGGATGTGAAGCCCTAGAAAGGGGCTTCAACAGGATGCTAATGGACTCTCCCTCTCAGGAGTCTTTAACAGCAGAACATGTAAATGCCTCTTTGGGAGCTGGACCAAAAGGTTTGGAAGAGCTGTGCTACTATCTTAACATCAGAAAATAACCCCAAACTAGCTGCAGAAATCTACTTGGAGGGTTCCTTAGGCAAGAGAAAAAAGATGTGGAGAAATATAGAAATAAAATGAATTGCATCAAAATATATTGTGAGTGGGACTGAGTGGAAGGCCTGGGGCTGTGGATTGGATGCAGGAGTGATATTATAAAAAGTCAAAGATATAAGCATTTATACCTAAAGAATTACCCACTTACTCTCTAGATTGTCGTTTCATTCTGTTGATTGTTTACTTTGCTGTGCAGAAGCTTTTTACTTTCATATAGTCCCATTTGTTTATTTTTTCTTCTGTTGCTTGTGTTTTCAGGCTCTTGTTCATAAAGTCTATGCCCAGACCTAGTTCCTGAAGTGTTTCACCTAAATTTTCCCTTAGTAATTTTACAGTTTCTGGTCTTATACTTAAGTCTTTAATCAATTTTGAGCTGATTTTAGTATATGGTGAGAGGTGCTTCTCTAGTTTCATTCTTCTGCATATGGATATCCAACTTTCCTAGCACCACTTATTGAAGAGGCAATCTTTTCCCCAATGTAGGTTTTTGTTGCCCTTGTCAAATATCAGATGGCTGTAAGCCTGAGTGGTGATTTCTGGGTTCTCTATGCTGCCTCAATGGTCCAAGTGTCTTATTTTTATGCCAGTACCATGCTGTTTTGGTTACTATAGCTTTGCCATAATAACGGCTTTGCTGTTTTGGTTACTATAGTCAGGTAGTGTTATGCCTCCAGCTCTATTTTTTTTGCTCAGGATTGCTTTGTGTATTTGAGGTCTTTTGTTGTTCCATATGAATGTTGAGATTGTTTTTTTCCATTTCTGTGAAGAATGTCATTGGTATTTTGATGGGTGAAAATTTTTGCTAACAATGCTTCTGACAAGGGATTAATATCCATAATATACAAGGAACTCAAGCAATTACACAGTTAAAAAAAAAAACACAAATAACCCAATTAAAAAATGGGCAAAGGAACTGCATAGACATTTTTCAAAGGAAGACATACAAATGGACAAAAGGTACATGAAAAATTGCTCAACATCACTAGTCATCAGGGAAATGCAAATTAAAAGCGCGTTGAGGTACCATCTACCCCAGTTAGACTGGCTATAATCAAAAAGACATTGAATAACAAATGCTGGCAAGGGTGTGGAGAGAAGGGAACACTCCTGCACTGTTGGTGGGACTATAAATTAGTACAATCACTATGGAAAACAGTATGGAGGTTTTAAACAACCACAGATAGATCTTCCATACAATCCAGCAATTCCACTTCTGTGTGTATACTCAAAGGAATGGAAATCATCATGTCAAAGGGATACCTGCACTCCCATGTTCATCGCAGCTCTGTTTACAATAGCCAAGATATGGAACCAACGTAAATGTCCATCAATAGATCATTGGATAAGAAAACTGTGGTACATATACACCATGGAATACTACTCAGCCGTAAAAAAGAATGAAATTCTCCCATTTGTAACAATGTGGATGAGCTTGGAGAAACTTATGTTGAGTGAAATGAGCAAAGCACAGAGGGATAAATACTGCATGTACTCGTTTATAATTGGGGGCTAAGAGAGAAAGAAGGAAGGAAAGAAAGACCACAGTAGTGCATTGGATTTGCAGAGCGAGAGAACATACCTAGGTATACAAAGTAGAGTGGGGAAAGGGGGATGGGAGGGAGGTTGGGGATGATTGTGTCGGGGACATGGGGTATAATCACAATTTGTAGTAATAGGCATGATGCCAGTATGGATCTGGCCATCACATCTTGGGTACAAGTGGTGACAATTTGCTTTGTACTCCATGAATATTCATAACCAATAAAAAAAAAAGAATTACCCACTTAACTCTCCCAAGACTCCTTCCAACACTGTAATTCTGTGGATCCAGAGTAAATTTACTGTCAAATTCATGTTAAACTCAGGACTCAAGCCTGCTTTTTCTTTTTAAAACACAGGATTGTAGATTTCTTTTTTTTTTTTTTTTTTTCCTTTTTGTCTTTTTT